ACGACAAAGTGCTACCAAAGTCAGAAAGCTCGAGACTGAGGCGGAGCGCGCATTGAAGCGTTCGAATGTCTTTAATCTGTGTCCCAACGGCACGCTGCTCTGGTGTCCAATTTGTGCTCGGCGCTGGCCTCCAGCAAGGGAGCCACAGCGGAAGCTTGTTATTGTAGCTGGTGTTGGCTTATACGACCTCCTCTCTCTCACTGTGGGGAATGCTTGGAAGACAGCGTCCTTGCTCTAGGAGCAGATCTTGTATTGTCATGTTTCTTTTTCATTTGGGAGCCAAAGTGGACGTAGAACACAAATATAGACAATTTCAAGCTGGAGTCTCTCTAAAACACATTTATTTTTTCTTCTCTCGCTCTCACTGCTTACTTACTATTTCATAAAACGGCTTCTACCCGATGCCATTTTGCGTGTTATACTTATGGACAAGTTATTGTAGTTACGCGGTCAAAGCTATGGGCGCGCGTGCGCTTACGCATCGTGAGCGCCCATCAAAGCTGTGCACGCGCACTCTTAAAACTTTTGAAATGCCACAGAACGTTGTCCGCGAGTTTAATGGGTATGACGCGCGCTATGTACGTTTTCCGAAGCTACACACCTGTGCGTGCTGAGGTGTGAATATTGCAGGCAAAGCTATGATTTGGTAAATATTGGAATGGTCTGTTAACAACGTCCACGACCAAAAACGTCGCTGTGGTCGGCTTTCCACGATTGACCAAATCACGCGGATAAGAGCATTGTTAAAATGTCAACTTCCATGGTTCTGGTATGAAAACGCGATGGCTCCTAGCATCTACTGTGCTTTTTAAAAGCACCATTTTACTTGTCGCATCTGACGGTAAGTAGCCCGGGTCAGAACTCGTGACGCCACGGCGAGGAAAATTTTTGTCATGATGTTACGAATGGAAACTCTATGAGGGCGCCACACAAACATCTCGGAGTTGGATCCCGGGACAGTAGCGCCATTGCCTTCCCTGATTGATTGCAGGACACAAATATATACTTACATACAGACGACCAAACCCTCGCAAGGCGATTGGCTGATCAGTCCTTGGTGCCATGGCTATCGCCATTTCGGTCTTTTCCAATTTTCGAAATTTCGAAACGGTCGATCTGAACCAGCCGTGCCAAGATCGCCAGGGAGCGTCATCGTAATGAAAGCGTTCCTTGACAACATAAGCAAATTTGGCACTGCATATGCAAGCAATTTATTAATCATGCTTAGCTAGACATATCTATAATAATGTAATTGTTCTTCAAGCAAGAAAAATTATTTTTCAGTGCTTCCAAGCAACGGCGCTCCATTCAGTGGAGGAGCGAAGATGCGTCCTTGTTTAGCTGGTGTGTGAATAACAAAATCTCAGGATACAAGAAATTTCTTTATAAAGAACCTGTCACCCCAATTTCGAATCGGCTCACCAAGAATAGAGAAGTCGAGGATAAAACTGCTCACACCATGAGCCAAAATGGCAACCAAGCTTGGCGCAACTTTGTCAGGATCTAGTGAATGCATTACCTATAAAACAGAAGTATATGCCTGAAGCTCCCAAGGTTAGAACAGTGTTACAGGAGCGCAAAATAAGCAAGTTTCCGAGAAAAGAGGCCTGTGATTTTCAGCCCGTATAAATAATTTATGCATCGCAGAAAGCTCAAACTCAGTGACAACGTGACGCTAGCGGTTGGCATAGATAGACGCGAAAGCGTGAAAACGTAACGCTACCTGTCTAAAAGAAAAGATTGAGAAAGACGAACTTTGTTTGGGTCGACGTCTACCTAAGGCTAATATCGTCAAAACAAGAAGTGACATTGTGAACGCTTGTGGGATTTATATCAGTGAAAAGTACTTGTCAGTAAGAAAGAGAATATTGTCTTCTTTTTTTTGCTGATAAGTTTTTTTTTTTCTTTTCCTTTTTACTGAAATAGGTGCTACATGAACCCAAAGTGTTACTTCTTGTTTTGGCAATGTTAGGCTTAGGTGGACGTCGGCTGAGAGAAACTTTTCGTCTATCTCAATCATCATTTGATCCAGGTAACGTCATGTCTCAAACTTCCGCGTTCTTTCCCACCGGCTATCACCTTCACACGGCGTTTGAGCTTTCTGCGATGCATAGTTTACTTACCCGGGCCGAGAAAACACGGTTCTTCCTTTCTCAAAAACTAGACGTGTCCTCCCCTTTCCACCCCCCCCCCCCCCCCCCCTTTTCCAAAAAAAAAATATTTTTTTTAGCCGCAAAAATAAATTATGCACTCCCGAACGTTCATTTTGTGAGCTAATACTGCGCTAGAGGTCCGAACCAGACGCCAATGCTTCAGCACAAACCGTTATTTTATGCAAAAGTTAAAAGTAATTTCCCGAAACTTTCAGTGGGACCAAGGAGCCCATTTTCGCCCGTCTTCGGTGACTGGCGCCATAGAGCTCAATGCATTCGAGAGCTCGGTCTGCAGTCTTTTTCCCAATTAAAATTTCAGGAAATCACGCACTACTTTTTTTATAATATAAGGGCTAGAGGTGAAATTCTGGCTTCTGGTTCGGACCTCTAGCACTACATTTGGGTGGAGAATCAGCGTTTTAACTTTTTTTTTTTTTTGTTGTAATAAATTTTGGTGCCCCTCGGGAGAGGGGGGGGGGGGGGGGGAGGGGGGGGGGGCACATTGTATTTGACTATTTGTATAACATTTTTAGATTCTCCCTACGTGTCTTCCGCGCCCAGCAGAGTTACGCGAACGGAGAGCAGACGACAAAATAAAACAAACATTCGTCTGCATTCTAATATATATGTATATTTTTTTTTTTTTTTTTTGCGAACAGAAGTCTGTTGTTAGTTTCTAAATGCGAACTGAAACGGGATTATTGTTCATATATTTCCATAAACTCATTATTTATCGCAGTTATCCTGCTCGCTGCCAGTCTCTCTCTGGGCGTTTTTGCAGTCTTCACACTGAAGCGCCTTCGTGTTTCAAAAGTAGCGCAAGGTGCGTCGATGCACGAGGCACGTGCGACGTGCAGCCCTTGGGAAGATCATGGCGTAACAGCGCAGCACTGAGCTAGACTTCAGACGCCATGTTATTCCTATACTCTATTTCACCTTATGATGTTCCACAGGAAAGGCTACAACCGCGAGCTCCTTGCTCTACGGCACATATCGGCGGCACAAGCTCGCGTGCGTTAAGAGCAGCTCCCAACGCTCTGAGTTCGCGCTTCTAGCCTTCTCTGCGGTACAACATAAGGTGAAACGGAGTATAGAAGTGCTGCGCGGCACGTGACGAGCATGTCCACAACAATGAATGACGCCACTTTTCCCAGAATAGAGGGGCTTTACTCCACACCTCCTGGGAACGGGTTTGCAAACCAGTATTCTGACGAAGAGCAGGCCGATATTGGCGACGTGCGCGACCGAAAGCGTCGTGGTGGTCGGTCTTCCACGATTGGCCACATGCTGACTATGACGTCAGCAAAGGAGATCTTATGGACAAAAATAAGAGGAATGTGAGGACTTCAATTTTGACGGTGTTGACAGTGTTGGTTCAAGAGCGCTATGATTTCAAGCTTCCGCCATGCTAATACAAACACCTTCGAACTTGTTGTTCGCAAGGTAATGACGTCACGAAAGGTAACCATACGAGGCCGCCACCGAAACATCTCGCCGCTAATAGGACATAGGAAGGGCAAAACTGCAGGTTTATATTTTTTCCCCAATTTTCTAGCTTTAAACTAAGCTCTGAAAAAAAAACTTTTTATTTTTCTTTTGTAAAACAACGTTTGCGTGTCGAATGTGGTGGTCCAAACGGCCGCAACGCCGCACCCTGTCCTCTCGATAATTTCGAACGTGGTTGGAACTTCGAATCCATTAGGGAATCAGAGCTTATTCTACGTCATGTAAGCCACTATGATCTTCGTATGTATTGGCTCGTATCTCGCGCCGCCCGTTGGCCGCTTCCAGCAGCGGCGGGCGCAGAGCGAAGAAGATCTAACTCGAGATCGACGGCGAACAGCCCGAGGCCCAAGCACACCCCGAGCGCCCGACCTGCATGCGCAGCTGCGAGCATGCAACTCGTTCGTTCCGGAAAAAGTCTGCGCCATCTATGAGGAAAAGGATACAAATAACTTCGGTCGAAAATGAAAAGAAACTAAATTACTGGTATCGCTTTAGCGGTACGAAATATTATCACAGCCGAAATTAGGGGTGTCGCGAACCGGCCGCGGTTCGAGTTCGACCAGGTTCGACTTTTTCGAACCTTTAGTGAAAAGTTCGGCGAACCTTGTATTGAGGTTCGACTCGTGTGCGCATGCGCGACAGGCAGGCCAGTTGGCTTCGGATTGGATGGTGATGGCTAAGGAATGAATCAAGGGCAGCGCTGATTGGTTCTTTCAGTTAATTCAGTACAAAAAAATTAAGTTATTAACTTCTTCAGAGATAAGAATTGATTTCGTTTAATTGCAACTGTTCATATAATAAAATAGCCCATTGCATACAAAAAAAAATTCTCCAAACCTAGACATGCTTGTATCAAGGTCTGGCCACAGTGTCCACAAAGTCGAACCGTTCGAACCTGGTGAAAAGGTCGAAGGTTCGTCGACCGGTTCGACCCAGTCGAACCCCGAAAGTTCGACCTAAAAATCCGGTTCGACAAAAGTTCGCGACACCCCTAGCCGAAATATTACATCAAAGTGAAGCCGCGTACTCCACTAAAACCGATTTTAAAGATGCGACTAGCTGCTGTTTAGCGGGCGGCAAGTCGGGTTAGCTTTTAGTCAAGGAACACTGGCGCAGGACCCTTGTGAGGTCACGTGGCGGCCGTACGGCTGACGATCAGTGTTGCCATCCCTCTAGCAGATAGTTTGTTTTACAGTAGACGTCCGAAGCCAAACTTTGAGCCGTGATATATATAAAACTACACACAATATCGGGGGGAAAAATACCCTGTAATCCAGGGACACTGCTTTAGCTGAAAACAGTTGGAATCCCAAATTCAAAAGTATTGACCGGAGTTGCCGTTTAAGTCTATAGCGTTAAGGGAGATTCAACCGCTATTTATTTGTACCCTTTTGTGGGTCGCCTGTCAATTCCCGATCAGGCCTAGTTCTACTCGCTCATTCATATCCGCGTCGCTGGTGTTGGTGGACGCGGATGGGGCCGCAGTTGTCGAACGGGGGGCCGGCACTGGTGGGGCCGGTGTGTGCTTGGGGAAGGGGCCGAGCGCCGGGTTTTCGGCGACGAACCCGTCAACGAGCAGTTGGTCGGGGGCAGGACTCCGGCTTCCAGTAGCTTGGCTGAAGCCGAGAGCCGCCGGAGCTAGAAGGTCTGGCCGATCCCGGCGAAGTAGTTGTACTGCTGCTGCGACGCCGGCGGGGCGGCCCATGTTTTTCAAGAGGTCAGTGTGTCGGCGGCTGGCCTCGTGTGTGTCCTGGTGGACCACCGGGACTTGGCACAGCCAGCAGGCGTCTGGGTGGTCGTCGGGTAGCGAAAAACGGGGCAGCGTATGCCCTCGGAAGGGCTGCGGGATCTGGGCGGGCAGCTGGGAAGGGTTTGGACGGGGCTGGTTCCTCCATCGCACCCTGGACACGAAGTGGACGGCCTCTTGGCCGTCCTGGGCCGTCCAGGTGGCCACGGTGTGGCGAGGTGGCTTGCGCCGAGCTGGTTCTCCAGCCGCCGTCGAAGCCGCTTCTCCTCGTGGGGTGGAGTCTCGTCTGCCCGCCTGGTCACTCGAGGCTCTCCGGTGCTCCGCATCTCCGCCGCCCTGCCTCTGTTGATGTGATCGAGGCCAGGGTTGATCACCCCGCCTCTGCCAACCGGGTTGAGCACCCTGTTGGTTGGTCCCCCTTGTTCTTCGCCAACCGGGTTGACCACCCTGTCGGTTGGTCTGGCCGTCCTCCCGCCAACGGGGTTGACCACCCTGTCGGCTGGTGTGGCCGGTCTCCTGCCGAGCGGGTTGGCCACCCGGTCGGCTGGTCTGGCTGGTTCCGCCGGTACCCCGGGAAGTGGAAGGTCGCCCTCCTGGATGGCGCCGCCCATTCTGGTTCCTCCGGGGGGGCATTTCTGGACAGAACGAGCTCTATTAACATCTTGCAGAGATTAGATCAAGTTCTAGGCCACAGATGATAGCGCCGCGCAGAGCCCCTATCAGATCTCTCACCGACGGGTTCGCGCACTGTTCGCGGTCGTCCGGATTGCAAAACCCATCTCGACAATGCGTTCGTCCCAGTCCCTGTGTCTCTCCGTTAGTGTGATCAGCATGCTCTTCAAGTTTCGGGTCACTCTCTCAGTGATATTAGTCCGAGGGTGGTATGGTGTCGTCCTTTTGTGCTTTATGTTTAGCGCCAAGCAGGAGTCAGTGAACACTCTGCTGGTAAAATAGCTAGCATTATCGCTGATGAGACACGTGGGTGTACCGAAGCGCATGAAAGTTTCCAACAACTTCTCCCAGATGCGCTCCGAGACCAGCTTCCTCAGCGGGTGTAACTCCACCCATTTTGAGAAATGATCGGTTATTACCAATAAATACTGGTTCCCACGGGGACTTTCTGGAAGTGGGCCGATGATGTCGCAAGCAACCATCTCCCACGGGTAGTGACTCACTACAGGCTGCATCAGGCCTGGGGGCTTTCCGCCTCGCGGCTTCGCTCTCTGGCAGGCTGGGCAGCTACGGGCGTATCGGAGTGTGTCCTGTCTCATCCCCGGCCAGGTCGCGACGCGACATAACTTTTGAAAAGTCTTGCTGCCGCTGCCATGACCAGCCAAAGCCGAGTCGTGGAAGTATCCGATAAACCGCCTCCGTAGCCTCCTAGGAATCACCACCCTGAACGGAGAGTCGTTCCCCTCCTCGTCGTCGATTGTTGGAATGTAGCGGAGCAATAAGCCGTCTTGACCCAGCAGGTATGAATCAATATGTTCGTTAAATTGACCGCCAGCGTTCCCGGTGTTGCTTGCTATTTCCGCAATTTTCCCCAACACCCGCTGACAAAAACCATCTGCCTTTTGGGCCTCGACAAGCTCTTCCTTGCTCACCACTTCACCCCAAGCCACGATCCTCTGTTCCCTCGTGCGGCCTCCTAACACTGCGACGAGTTCCTGTTGCATCGATCCCTTCCCGCTGTCTCGCTTATGAGCGGCCGCGCAGGAAGCTCGTCTCTCGCAATCCCCTGGCTGCGTCTCCTCCTTCCAACCACTATCATGGGGCGCCCGAGAAAGTGCGTCTGCAACCTTGTTGGTGGAGCCCTTTCGGTACTCGACAGTATAGGAGTATCGCTGCAAAGTGAGTGCCCACCGAGCTAACCTCCCCGCCGGCTCTCTGAACCTTTGAATCCAGGTGAGAGCGGCGTGGTCTGTCTGAATGACGAAGGTGGTCCCGTCTAAATACAGGTCGAATTTCTTTAGAGCAAACATGACGGTCAGCCCCTCCTTCTCCGTCACGCTGTAATTGCGTTCTGGCGGTGTAAGGGTTCGGCTGGCGAATGCCACCGGGCGCAGGTGTCCGTCATGTTCTTGCAATAACAAAGCACCGACGCCGAATTAGTGCGTAGTAAATGTTACCACCGATCTCGACGCGCACGTACGGCCCCTTCTCAGATGTCAAACCCTGAGTCCGACATGCCGACGGGGCAAACGCCGACCTGTCGCTGACCGCAACTCCAGCCCCGTTGGCAGACTGATGAGGGGCCTCGGCAGCGGCCGGCAACCGCGAGTCGGGAAGTCCAATTAGTGGCGCCGGCCTCTCCCGTTTCCCTGAGACCCATGGGGGGAGAGCTGCCGTCCATGTGTACTGACGCTTGATATGCCCAAGCTGATTGCGTTTATAGCACCTGACCTGTCTCCTGCCATTGTGTGCTGAGCGTCCGCCGCTACCATCACGCGAAGCAGTGTCGCGCCGGGGGTCATTGTAGTTCCCGCGACCCTCGTAATGATTCGCGACTCCGCGGTGGTCGGCTGCGCCGCCTCCCCTACGGGGATGCGCCCTGGAAGAGCCCGCGTTAGCTGCTCTGCGCCTCTGTTCAAAAGCGAAGGGATCTAAGGCGCGGGGCACAGCAGTTTCGCCACTCTTATGTCCTGTAACGGCCACGTACGGCGTACGTAAGTCGTCGCAAGCTCCCGCGCCTCGTCCTGTCCAGGCGCAACCCGGCTCCAGAGATTCCTCTGCGCGTGGAGGGGGGCGATACGTCAACTCGGCGAGCAAGCTCGCCTGAACGATGCGCGCCTCTCTGGCAAGTGCTTCCAGATCAGCGAAATCACGTCCGCGCAAGTAGGGTTTAAATCTAGGGTGACACTGGCGGATCGCCCTAGCTACCTTCTCCGCGTCTGACGCTGTAGGGTCGGCTCTGGAGTAGAGCTCCTGGAGAGCGCGGATGTATTCTACGAGGCTCTCGTCCGGATGCTGAGTACGGCTGGCTAGCTCATCTCTGATCCGCATCTCATAGTCGGGAGGCAGAAATTCCTCTCTGAATCGTGTCCGGAAATCTGCCATCGAAAGGAACGGCCTCTGCATTCGCCTCCAACGCGCTGCGTCATCCGTCAACGCGATTGGGACGATCTGTATCAGGGCCGTTTCATCCGACGCGCCCAACGCGGCAATGTACGCGTCTAGGTCCTGCAAGAAATCGTGAACCGATGCTGCGTCGGAGTAGCCCGAATAGGTCGGCGTCGGCACGCTCAACCGCGGGCGAGGCACGGGCGTAGGCGCGGGATTCACCACCCCTGGGGCCAAACCCATCTGTCTAGAAAACGTCGCGAACATCGCCGTCATGGCGTGCATTAGTTCGCTGACGTCTCCCGTGTTCACCGCCGGAATTGGGGGTTCTAGCGCTGCCGCAACGCTCGCTTCCCCACTCGTGCCTTCTCCCACGTCTGAGTCAATATCCGCCACTGACTGGGTTGAGGCCTCGGGATGGGCGGCCTTATTCCGTAACCTGGACATGGCGGCAGAACGTTAAACACTGATGTCCAGCGGAGTAACAAAAAAATTCAAATGGGGAAACAAAACAAACCTAAACTTAGAAATCGCGATTCGTGGGACTCCCCGGGAGCGAAAAAAAACAACGGCAGACTGATCGGGCCCCACGTTGGAAGCGCCAGTTATGTGGGTCGCCTATCAATATCGCCCGATCAGGCCGAGTTCCATTCGCCCCAAGGAAGTCATACGAGGGAGCGCTATCATTAAGCAAGGTTTAATTGATACTCATGTGCTCGGTGTTGTCCGGGTCTTTCCTGGGCTCGCTGAGGTCCGGGTGCTTGCTTGGCTCGTGAAGTCCGGCTCTTTGTAGGCTCCTCAGCACCGTCTGTCCTGTTGGCCCACCGTCCTTCGAACCTCAGCCTCGCACCGACCACGAGCCTCTCCTTTCTTCCTCTTCCCCGCTCTCGGCGCCGCCCTTCCGCGTGCCGTGAGGCTCATTGTTTCCCACACTTTTTCTCATAGATGGCGCAGAAATTTTCCGGAACAAACCAACGCAGTGGTGTGTGTACCAGGTGACACAAGAACCGCCGTGGAGCGCAGACAACGAGAAGTGGGACGCCAAGCGCTGGGCTGCCATGGCACGGTGGCGAATGAGGCACTGCAGGGGGACCTGGGCTGGTCGTCTTTCGAAGCGAGGGAGGCGACAAGCAAGGTTTCCTATGACGGGCGGCTTCGACTCATAAACCGGTGCCGCTGGGCCAAGAGGTTGTGCATATACACAGATGACTTCTCTGCAGAGCGGTTGGCGAAAGCGCCTTTACCAGCTTGAGAAAAAGTTTGGCTTCTTCACAGAACCGGTGGAGGCGACCACAGAGAAAGAATGGGAGTCTGTGGTGCGGAAGAGGGTCCGCGAACAGGAGAATGTGCAGTGGTTGGAGGCTGCCCGGACAAAGTCAAACCTTACCATGTATGCGGAGTTAAAACAGCAAATCACGGCAGAGACGCGGCTGTACGACAACAGCTTGGGCAGCCGCCTATTGTTCGAGGCTCGTACTGAAGCCCTGCGCACACTGGTGTACAAACAGCGCTTCGACAATAGTGTGCAGTCAACTGTATGCCGAGTATGCGAGAGTGAGAGCGAAACCGCGGAGCACATCATACTCCGTTGTGGCGGAATCCGACCTTCTGCCACTTCTGCCACCGAAGAGGCGAACCGACTACACGAAGGTGTCCCGCCTCTAGCGACAACGTTGGGCTTCTCGTCAAGAAGCGAGACAGCCAATACTACTGAAGCCTTTTGGAAGACTATCGAGCAGACGAAAAGACGACTGGAGGATTGATGGCATCATACACAACACAGGGGGCGCTGAACTCACCCCCAGGTTAAAGCCCCTCGATGTGTTTGCGCTCGTATTAGATTCGGTGTTAAGAAGCTCGTATAATATTGGTTTGCTCTGTCGCGAACTGTTCAAACATTAATGGAGGACGGAAAAGCGTTTCCTGGGATTTCAGATGAATCTTCAGATAACTGTCAACCATGATTTTAAGACACAATATGAAGAAGTGTCGTTACACTGAAGCGCAGCTTATTTAGTGGCACTACATATAGAAGACCATGGCGTCTGAAATCTAGCTCAGTGCTGCGCTGTTCCGCCATGATCTCCCCTAGTGCCACTAAATAAGCTACGCTTCAGGGTAACAACACTTGTCCATATTGTGGCTTAAAATTATTGCTGCCAGTTATCTAAAAATTTATCTGAAATCACAGGAAACGCTTTACGTCCTCCACAAAAGTTAAACGCTTCGCGACAGAGCAAAGCAATATTACACGAGATTCCTAACACCGAATCAAATGCCGAGGAAGTCACACTTTTGAATCATGACGATTGGCAGTTGCGTCTGCTCTGTACAAGCACCAAGATGGCGGCGCCCACAGCAATATTGGGGAACAGACTGCCGACCCTAAGCATAGCTCATTTAGTGGCGAGGTCCACACTTCTGCGCGGCGAGGTCCACACTTCTGCACGTCCAGAGGTGTGTACCTGGTCGACGAGGTACACACTTCTGCGAGTCGAGTCAAAAGCAACATGAAGCAACCGTTTCCCACCCGTGAACTGTACCAGGGAGTTCACTGTCCAAGCAAGTGGCGCGGCACTATAGACTACTCGTCCACAATCGCGCGCCAAGTCCACATCAGCTGACAACATTGGCAACGGGTATGGCAAGAAAGGACACTTTCCGTCTGTCTGCCTGTCAGCGAAAAAGAGCCACTCAAATACACAAAGCCATGTTGCACTCGAGTTATCCTCCTAAATTTCATAAGTTGAAGGACCTGCCGGCAAGTGCAGACTAAATTCATTTGATAAAATTCACGCTTACAAGTCCCGCCAACCATTGTTGTGGAAACGCGCAAGACACGTGCGAGGAGCGGTGCTCCGCTGCCATTCGCTTCCAAGGGCCGCTCAAAAAAAAAAAAAGAAAATTGGGTTGTGCGGATGTTTATACAGCCTAGAACTTGGTCTACCTCAACGGGCGACGGGTCTCCCAGCTGTAGATGAGCAGTGTAGCCAGTGCAGTACAACCGCTAGCCTGGGGTCTTTAATGTGCACCACGCAGTAGTGATACACGACCGCACGCCGGTACGATGCTCATCCAGATCGAAACGGGCAGGGGTGGTGCTCGAACCCAGGATCCCTGGGTTCTGCAGCGCGAGCTTTCGCTCCACGTGCTCCGAGTATGTGTGCGCTAGAGTGTGCGCTAGCCCACTCGGCCACCAATCCCCCCAAGGGCCGCTCATTTCAGTACTGCGCCGACAACTCCTTCCAAGGGCCGCTCGAGACACGGGCCTCGTGCACTGGAGCATTTGATGCCACTTGCAAGACAAACGCAAACACATCGAAGGGCTTTAGTCCAGACCACCGTGGTCCAGACAGATAAAGAGGGATCGGTGGCGAAGTGCAATAAAGAAAAAAAAAGGATCGATGGCTGAGTGGGCAAGAGCACACCAGCTCGGAGCACGTGGAGCGAAAGCTCGCGCTGTATAACATGGGGATCCTGGGTTCAATCCCCACGCCTGCCCGTTTCGATCTGGATGAGCATCGTACCGGCGTGCGGTCGTGTATCACTTCTGCGTGATGCACGTTAAAGACTCCAGGCTACCGGTTGTACTGCACTGGCTAAATTGCTCACCTACTGCTGGGAGACAAGTCGCCCGTTGAGGCAACTATGTTCTGGGCTGCATAAACATACACACACCCCAATTTGTTTCCAGACAGGTAAGGTAGCAAGCACCGCTTCATTCCACCGTGACATAGAGTAAGATCACTGTTGAAAGAGGTGCTCATAACGGACAATAGAATAGTGAATTCCCGAGGTTATTTATGAAGGCACTTAAGTTACTTAGAGGTTTATTTGATTTTGCCTAAAAATTAGAAAGGTGAAGAGAAAAAAAAAAAAAGAAACGTACGCCTAACCTTAGGTAAAAACGTATTTTCTACTTATTGGTGGCCCGTTTGGTATTCTTAGTAATCCGCAAAACGGGAAGTGTTAAATTTAGAAAAAAATATTGTTTCGGGCGCCAAACGCTAACGTCAAAATTCAATTTGCATCTCAGAGTAAGCACCTGTTTGTTGGTTCAGAAAATATGTTGTAATTGTTCAAAATAATAGAAATCATGCTTCTTTTTTTTATATCCACTAGCCACCAAACAAGGTCTACAGAGAATGAAAATATCTGAAATAATGTTTCATAAAATAAATGTTGTTCGGAATAAGTATTTTAGCCTTCTTTGCAACTCAATCAACTATTTTTTTTTATTTCCAAACACATATTACTAGGGTGCCTTCATGTGCGCTTTCCTTAGGGTGGAGATATATCTGGCCATTTTGTCCCACACTTTTTTTTTTTTTTTTTGTCCAGAAACGCGTGAAAGAGCGTGTCCCCGCACGCGTTTGTGGAGCTGACTGTGCTATGGCGACATTTTGTTTTTGTTGATTTATTTGTATTTTACACCTGAGCCCGTGCTGTCGGCATCGGGTACTACAAAGGGTGGCATCTCCCTATTAGCAGAAGGACATTGAGGCACCCTACATATTAGGATATCTCTGTTCAACCCTGCACGATCTTAGGGTGCTTACGAGCCACGGTTGTAGCGTATGCAAGCGTTTGACCACGCACGCTAACATAGCGCACACAAAAAAATAGAATCAACAAAAGTATCGCCTTCAGAGCCTTATCAAGCCTTTCGCAAGGAGTCTGCTGATGACTAGTTACACTTTTTTGCACCGTTCAAAAAGTGCCGACCAACGGAGCCATCATTGTAATTCTGTCGTGTCTATGTTTATACACCGGGAAGTTAGTCAGCTCTGAGGGCATCTGGTTTCTTCGTTGAAGATGAAAGACAGTGCAGTATACCGCTGATTGTCTGACGACTTTAACGTGCATCACGCAATAGTGATACCTGACAGCGCGCCGGTACGATGCTCATCCAGACTGAAACGGGCAGAGGCGGTGGATTGAATCCACGATCAGTGAGCTTTTCAGCGTGAGCTTTCGCTACACGTGCTACCGATCTACGAGCAACGAGACATCACGGTCGAATTCGAGCTCGAGAGAAAAACAACAACAGCAACAGCAAGAAAATCTCCGCTTTGATGCATTTAGTACTAGTGTCGCAATCTCGTTTAACAAGTTGGAAATAAAATTAACAAGGTGATTTTATTTACACAAACACGCAAATACAACAATATTTTGCTTTCTCCTCGTAGTCTTAAAAATAAGATTAGAGGCATCCCTAGTACATACGGCCAAGCGTTTTGTCATGTTTGTCTTCTAAATAATTGTATTTTCAAAAATGCCTCCAAACGCGTTAAGAACAGTCAAAACGGTGATATTTCTGGATTTTGTTAAAATCTTCAGCACTCTAAAAGAAAAATCTAAGGGCCGTACAACCTTCATTACGTTATCATAAGCAACCCACAAAAGAATGAATACCATCGTGCATTCCTGAAACTCAGGATTGTGCAGCGAAATTCGCCCATTGAGTGAAGAACGGTTGAATCCCCCTTAAGGTGTATCCACATGACGGACCGGGCCGCGGACCGATTGATCACGTGATGCGCGGCCCGCGGGCCGCCCGGTTGCAATGAGCATCCACACGGCGGACCAAAAGAGCAGACGACAGAGCGAACGAGCCGGTCTAACCCTCGACCTCACAGCTCGGCCAAACGCATGCAGCGAGCTGCTTTGAGGCTATTTGTAAGGAGCCAAGATGGAGGTTGAACGAAAGAGGCGTTTGGCCGCGGTGGCCCTGGCGTTGACTCTTGAGAACGAGGAGGACTTAAGTGAAGCGAAAAAGGCACGGGGACATCTTTAGATGATTATTTGAGTAGTCGTCGCGACTATTGTCTCACAGAGCGGGGAATCGCTCCACGAGCGCGATGAAGTAAAAAGTTGCATCGTCGCACAACAAAAGGTTCGTCTTCTTCGTCTTCAACAGTTG